TGATGATGATGATGATAATGACGATGATGATGATGATGATAATGATGATGATGATGAGGAGGAGGAGGAGGAGGAGGAGGAGGCGGGGGAAAGCGATAACGAATGCGAAAAAGAGGAGATTGGACGTTTACAGTTATACTATCAGAAAAATACATAAGCGTAATCTAAGGTAATACAGACATGTAGCCAACGTAGGAAGCATTCATTATACGAGTGAATGACGTGCGAATAACGAGCTAGCAATTTACCAGCTTCAATAACGCACAAGTCAACGGTGACGCTACGAATAAAATCGCAGTAAACTTAGTTTATGACGCACACACTAAGAAGCGGCTTTGCCCATTTCCATTTTTGACTCATCTATACTAAAGTAAACGGGTAACTTGCGCGCGCTCTGCTGCTGCTGGTTTGCGGTAGAAACTGTACGATGCGTGTTTATCAATTAAGATGCCGACAAGATCCAAACATTCATCAACGTGTCAACAGCTAGTGGAATGTAATCGTGGAATGTGATTAGAAAGATATATAAGATATATCACCTGTCCGCCGTTGATCGTCCAACGTTAATCTACGTAGCTCTGTGGCGAAGCGAAGGGCTATAGTTCTAGAGCTACTGTCGACGCTGCTCATTCCCATGTTAAGGGGGGCACACATTGGTTGTCGCAAAGTTACACCAATGCATTCAACCATGTTCACCAAGCTTCAATATAGCTATGAGCACAAAACTAAGAAATACAGCTATGACCACAAACCTTCAATATAGCAATGAGCACAATATAGGTTATGCAGCGGCGCTATTGTCGATGCAAATATTTGGGAAACATTGCTAAACCGCTGCTTTATTTTTTATTTTTTACCGCGTTTACTTCAGCATGATCTATAATTTTGCATTCAGACGCGGCTAAATGCATCGCATCCGGCGCCGCGTACTCGCTTATACGCAGAAACGAATGAAAAACTCGTGTTTAATCGGAATCAAATAAAAATTTATGTTGGAGTGATTCTCAGTCGTAGGATCAGACTACCAATTTTCGCTGAGGATACAAAAAACGAAAATAGCAACACACGCGTGTAAACGTTCGCATGCAGTTAGTTGCATCGCATGCAGCCGCACACGATCGCACGTTGTGTAAATGTTCTAATCTAAAACACTAGATTACGAAAGAGGAAGGTATTTAAATAGAGACACAAGATTCCTATCACGTCATTCAATACCTGAGTGATAATCACACGCCCATTAGGCCAGCTAACCGCGCAATAATTATTAGTAGTATTATCATTAATAATATTAATAATAATAGGTTAGAGTTATGGTACTTGGTAGATACAATAATGTAACCCAAACCCAAGAGGATAGAAGTCCCTATCCTCTTGGGTTTGGGTTACATTATTGTATCTAGAGTTATGGTTACTACTACTACTACTAGGTAACGATCTTCGCTGGAATGCCCACATTGACTACATTTGTAAGAAAGCGTCCCGATCTTTCGGCATGCTACGGCGTAATCTTAGCTTTGCTGACTCTAAAACTCGGTCCCTAGCTTTCAAAACTATGGTTCTGCCCATATTAGAATATGCTTCATCAGCCTGGTGCCCCTATAGACTTCAGAACTGCTCTAGATTGGACACCATTCAGCATAAAGCTGCGAGATGGGTCTCCAGAAACTATATGATGATAGTACTGATGTTGTTTTGGCTCGTCTTGAATGGCCTCCCCTTCGTGTCCGCTTTCTTCACTCAAAACTCATAACTTTCTATAAAATTTATCATGAGTAGTAGTAGTAGTAGTAGTAGTAGTAGTAGTAGTAGTAGTAGTAGTAGTAGTAGTATTAGTATTAGTATTCGTATTAGTATTAGTATTATTGTTATTATTATTATTACTATACATAATCATAAACATACCGCGGCGTGGTGTCCGTCTAAGAGCGAATACTCGTCTTCGATGATGTAAGCAAAATGCGAGACGCCCTGGTCGTCGTAATACTGCACGAGCGCGCGGAGGCAACACCATCGCTCCCACCACGTCACGTTCAGATTCATGCACTCCGTCGGCCGAAAGTCCTTGGAGAGCATGTACGGCTTGACGACGAGGCACCCTAGGATGACGAGGGCCGACACGACGGTGCACGTGAACACGAATGTACAGATGAATGCGCGTGCGGCGCGGCTGCTTCGGTCGCACCAGATCTGACATGCGGCGGGAGAGCAGCAGCGAGGCGGGTCGTCGTCGTCGGAGCCCGCGCTTGCCGTCCGCGTCAGCGACATCGTCACCTGCTGTTGTTGATGATGGTGGTGATGGTGGGGATGATGGTTATGATGATGATGATGATGATGATGATGATTATGTTGGTGGAGGTGGTGGTGATGCAGGGGCGGTTCCTGCTGCTGTTGTTTTTGTAGTTTCTGCTGATGCTACTGCTGCTTCTGCTGCTGCTGCTGTTGTTGTTGTTTTTGCTGATGCTACTGCTGCTTCTGCTGCTGCTGTTGTTGTTGTTGCTGCTGCTGCTGCTGCTGCTGCTCCTGCTGCGGCAGTGGTAAGTTAATAGAACTAGCAATGAACGCAGTCGTCAGCATAGACACCGAAGTCTGCGACGACGGTACGTCCTGCTAGAGGGCGGGCGAGTCGGAGCGAGAAGCCGTTGGCGCTACGTCTATATCACGTCTGTCGTCGGTATGACGACGCGCATCAAAGCGACGCGAGAATTCCATTGATCGCCATCATGATGACGTCACGGCATATCGACGCGGCGATGCGTGTGATAGCGTCGTCGTTGTCGTCGTCGTCGTCAGCGCGTCGACGACAAACAACGATTCTCATCGACGGTGAAGAATAGCGTCTCGTCGGCAGCTCCGCAGGTCAACTGTAAGCAGAGCCTGCGAAAGTGAATCCGCAAAGATGTTCTTTAATCAAACTAGCACCGCGTGAAGCCCTGGCTCTCCCGCTGTCCCAGCTTCCGGTTTATCACACGCGCGTGTACGTGCGCTGGCGTCTCATCCGAGGTAAAACTGCGGCAGCCGTCAGTGGCGTTACAATGGGTGTGCGGCGGGTGCGGAAGGCATCGGGTGACACCATCAGAGGGGGTGGTGTTTTAATTTTGCTAGTTTATGTCACTACTCTTGTCATTACATTCAGTGATATGCGGGAATTACGATTTACAAGTAACATTATACAAAAAACATTACATATTTGTACAAAAAAACATTACTAAGGATTCTGTATGGTCTGGCACGGGATGAGGTCCATGGGGGTGACACCATAAGTTACCGCACCCTGTGACACCAACCCTAGTGACGCCGCTGGCAGTCGTGAAAGAGAGGAACACCGCCAACCGCGCCACCTGGCGTGAGGATAACGACACGCCCCTCCAACCTGCGCCTCTCCGCTTTCTCCGGTGTTTGACGACGCTTTTAAGATAATTAGATGGTTCTAATTACGACGATGCGCTGCGGCCATGAATTACTTATAACGAGATAGTTTCGGAAGAGTTTTTGGCAGGCGCGTCGTAAAAACGTATAAAACCTATAAATAACGTATAAACCTATTACATACATCGAACGGCAGAATGTCACGTGACGTGAAAAAAACTAATAGGCGTTCTGAATGCACACGCAGCGATGTGAAGGCGAGCGCTGACCAGAAGGTCGTAATAGTTCGACAAAGATCGGCGTAAAAAAGTACTCTTCGATTTTTTTCGTCGCGTTTACAGTTTTCGTTTCGAACTGTTTTTTTATCCGCGCCAATAGCGGAACTCTCCACTCGAATCGCAGAATGCGAAGTTTGGAATGCGAACATTATACATTTATATTAGGATTGGCAACGCCATCGCTAGAGCAAGCGTCACAAACTATTTTTTTTAATATTATAGTCATCAAAATTAGTCATCAGAAAATGTGTCTTTCATTACCGTTACGAAAACAGCCGTCTACAGTCAGCGCGGGAAAAAACCTGCTAAAACACATTACGAGCAGACGTTATATCGATCACGCCTGGGTCGTTTGGAGCCTTAAGCAGTCCCCCCCCCCCGACTTTTTTATATTAACGTCCGCCGGCAGGGTTTCCTTGCAGGTGGGTGGGTGGGCGAGGGGGAGAATATTACGGGTCGTTGCCGAGAGACCCATTAGAAACCTTTATTACCGCCTATAAATAAGCGATGTAAAGTAAGCGACGGGCGGCGAGACCGGAGGGTGATTCGACTGATTGTGTCTCGACGTTACGAGGGTCAACGTTAGTCCTATATAATAACCATTCCTCATATTAGAGATGGCGTTACGGATAGAAGATCGTCGGTCATATTAGACGGACGGACACATACAGATAGCGTCGACGGGTTTGTCGACTCAACAGATGTTACGAATCTAATCGCGAAAGTGGTTCTTATGAAAGATGTCAGAAGAATTCTATAGTGTGTGTGTGTGCGTGCGTGCGTGCGTGCGTGTGTGTGCGTGTGCACGTGCGCGCGTGCGCGCTCATGTGTGTGTGCGTGTGCGTGTGTGTGTGCGTGTGCGTGTGTGTGTGCGTGTGCGTGCGCGTGTGCGTGTGTGTGTGTGTGTGCGTGCGCGCGTGCGTGTGTGTGTGTGCGTGCGCGCGTGCGTGTGTGTGTGTGTGCGCGTGTGCGTGTGTGCGCGTGTGT